AACTCTTATAGTGGTTGATGGTTTGGTTTCCTATGAAAGATTTTCAGTTTCTTTTTTTGTAACATCATCCAACTCATGTTATGCTTTTGATATATCTTATGCTTAGTCGGGTCATCACTTTGGACGGGCCTCACATTTTACCAGGCATATTGAGTGGATCTTGTAGCAATCTTCATAAGGGTAACCATCGAGACTTATTTTTGGTATAATTTCCTTGCCACCAATTGTAGATCTTATCATTAATGAGTAGGGAACTATTTATAGAGCTTGATCGAAGTCAAGTTAGGGGACATAGGTTTTTATTGATGCTTGGGTGTTGAGGGTCAGTATTGATAAATAATTATGATCAAACATCTTGCAACACTAACAATCATTTTTATATGATTTTCACTGATCAAACATCATGCATCATTCTAAGTTTTTATTACCTTTTGCTAATCAGGCATCGTACATCACAGTAAATTTTACTGCTCGGGTTCAAGTTCCCTAAGCATTGGCTAGATATCAATTTATGTGAACTCCTTGAGTTCTCAGAGTACTGTTTCAATTTGGGATTACACACATAGTTAGCTGATTCATATCTTTATTATTTACTTGTGTAAAATTACTAAGGTTGGAATGAAAAATGCCTTTATTTTTTACTCAAGATGATACAAGAAATTTGTATGAAAAAAAATTATTTAGGTCATCTCCACTCCATTTTTTAAGGGACTATTTCTCTTGTGTTTATCTTTAACTTATATGCTCCAGGGATGACTTGTTGGTTGATGATAAAAGGGTCGGTTATGTCTGATTTAGCTTTTTTAGTTTCTTGTCTTCATGCATTTGGGTCAGACCTTTTTAACATAAGATCCTCGGGGATGAAGGCCTTCTCTTGAACATGCCTGCAATATTATCGAGTTGTTCTTATCTTCACTTATTATTATCAAAAAGTTTAATCATCCTGATTTTCTTCTACGAGTTCAAGCACAAACATCATACCTTCATCATTCGCTTCCTTCCACTCAATAATAATTTTTTCATCAAATGATGGGGCTATCACGACTCTCTACTGTGGTGAATGTATTCGATCAGCAGCTTGGATTCCATCCCATGCAACAACATGAATGAAGTTTTCCAAGTCATTATCAATGGTGTTATTTGAACTACCCACAAAACTTATAGAAGGATTTTAGTCTAGTTCCCCTTAGCTTCTTCAACCTCTTTCCTCAAAAGGTTCAAAATGATTTTGGTGGCCACATTTGCTTACCCATTTTTTCGAGGATAATGAACATTTAGAAACTTTTGAATGATCTCTTAACTTTGATGGAAGTCTTTTACTCTTTGGTTGGCAAACTGTGGTATGTTCTCAGCGATAATGATCAGTGAAACCCATAGAGAAAAATAAGATCTGTCCATATGAAGTTTTAGATGACATCCATAGCTAATCCAAGTGAGTGCCTTAGCTTTCATATACTCAGATAAATAATCCACGGTAACAAGAATAAACTTGTGTTAGCCTCATGATGGTGGAAATGGACTAAGGTTGTTTAGTCCCCAAATGATGAATGGTCAAGAGCAGGTAATAAACTAAAACTTGTGTCCCTAGTGATGTTGTAATGGTGCATACTTTTGGCATTACTCACGTCTGTTAAGTTTTGTTTAATGTTGGGTGGCCTCTATAAACCTAGAAAAATTTCTATCTAAATGATCAGATACATCATTCAAAAAATAATATTCTATCTCAAAAGATAGAAGCATTATCTTAGAATGGATCTAATTATTTGGATGAGGAAAATCTTTATGATTTATGAATCTACGGAACCAGGAACTTTCCCTTACATTACAAGTGTAAGATAAGATTTACTTTGTTTTGGGGTTTGGTAGCCTTAGGAGGAGGCCCTCATAGTTAATTACATCTCAGTAATTAATTTTGAGAACACTCTCAATTAATGTTATGCCTTGTATCTTTCATATTCTTCAATGAATATTTATAGGAAGAATTAGATAAAAGTGATAAGTTTGGACAATGATTGGCTTCACTTGAGCTCTGAAAATGAGTTTACTCTTAGGCTTGAGCCCAAAATTTAACAATTATGTGATGATACAAAGCTAGAATTAAAGAGTCAAGTTTGAGAAACAAATTTGGATATGGATTCGATTTGATTGAATTTGGATTGGATCTAATCTTCATAGGTTTGGGTTAAGTCTAATAGGATTGGATAAAGTTTGATAGGATTGGGTTACGTCTGATAGGACTGGATAAAATTTGATAGGATTGGGTCAAGTCTGATAGGATTGGGCTAAGTTTGAAAAGATTTGGTTAAGTCTAATTGGGTTGGCTTTAGAAGCATTTTAGTCTAAGGATGGGAAAGAGGGGAAAGAGTAATAGATTTTTAGATGGAGATGAAGCCCTTATCTAAATATCTCTAAACAGAAGGCTATAGTTGAACTGGCCTAAATTTGGGTGAAACGCAACCGGTCAAGATGCTCATGACTTTCCATCATCCCGAGTGTATTAATAGCCTCAGACTATTAACCAGTAAAATAATAAGTTATCCCTTTTTGCCATAAGAATGGCGTAAGGCAGTCCTTTCTACTATAAAGCGGTCTTGAGTATCTTTGTCCATAACATGCGCTACTTCATTCTAGGATACTCTTATAGTCTGAAAGGGTAGGTCAATTTGTTTTATAGGTCCTATTCCTTAAGTGTATTTATGGGGTATCTAGTAACTAACCTAGGCATTTTAGACTAGACAAATTTAGGCGGTGTGTGGTTTTAGGTTTTCATCTATGTTAGATATCCTAGGATCACAGTATGGAGCTTCAGGGTGTAGTTATAAAAATTAGAGTTGGTTACTTTTAGGTTTTTTAGAATTTGATAACATTCAGGTGATTGTTTTCTCCTAAGTTTGTCAATTATGATGACAAATCAAAGTTTTTAACTGTCATTTGGTTTTTTTTTCCATTCTTAAATGTGGTTTTGATCAGATTATCAATTATAACATTTTTGTTCTCATCCCTATGTTTTGTTTTCTCCCCTAAGGTTTTGATTGTGATTGAAATAGTATATTCTGAATGAAAAAAGAGATTAATTTCATAATTTAAAATCTTCAAATTTAGCTTATTTGTTTTCACATTAAGCTAATAGAAGTATACTTTTCATACAAAATAAAGATTTTTTTAAATAGTTTTATCATTTAAAAATATTTAAGATATAGGTTCATCTTCTGTAGGAATTATTTAAATTAAGATGATCCAAGACTTAAATACTCAAAATTCTAAGGCTACAAAATCATCTATTTCTAAAAAGAAACATTTTCATTCATGTAATTATTTATTCCACTGAACATATAATTTTTGCCTAAACTAAGCAAAAGAATAGAGAGCCTGACAAGCATATATGTATATTTCGTCCCTAAAGCTTAGGGGTTTTAAAATATATGTTTTTGAAAAGAGATTGATTGATATCAACTTTTTAATCTATTTCGTCCCTAAAGCTTAGGGGTTTTAAAATATATCTTTTTGAAAAGAGATTGATATCAACTTTTTAATCCTTTGAAGAAAAGATCTCCCAAGAAGGAAATTCTTTGAGAAAATTTCTTTAAAGGAAAATCTCAAAGTTTTAGGAAAATACATTTTGAATTTTAAAAATGAGATTTACTTTAAAATAATTTCTCTTAAATATTTTAAATACAAAGTGCTATTAAAAATATCTCTTAGGTTTTGAAATCAATATTTCTCTTTAATTTTTTTAAAAGAAATTGTTTGTTTTAAAATAGAATTATAAGAACTTAAAAAGATTTTAAAAGGAAATATTTTATAAGAAATTTCTCTAGAGACATACAATATCTCCTTAAGCTTTTCTAAATTTTAAAAGATCAAAATTTTTTAGTTTATTTAATTAAAGTATTAAAAAACTTCTTAGGGGCTAATTAAATTTTTAAATATTTACATTTTAGAATAATTTTAATTATGATATAGAAGATTTTTATTTAATGAAGTTATTTATATTTTAAAATAGTTTATTTTTAAACACTTTTAATTTATTAAGATATATAGATATTTTATCTTTTTAAATGTTTTAATATGATTACCAAGCTCACTCTCTCTATTTACTTAGCTCGCAGAAATTCTATTTCTTCTCCTATGCTTCTCATTCATCAATCAATTCCACTCAAAATTACTCTTAATTAATGCTCATTAATCACAACATGCTTTGTAAAGGAGAAAGGAACAACAAGCAAGCAATCAACATGCAAATCATCATCAAATACATGCAACATGCAGCATACATATCATATAATTCATCTAAAAGCTTTTCAAGTATTCAATTTTTATTTAATGAAGTTATTTATATTTTAAAATATTTTATTTTTAAACACTTTTAATTTATTAAGTATATAGATATGTTCTCTTTTTAAATGTTTTAATATGATTACCAAGCTCCCTCTCTCTATTTACTTAGCTCGCAGAAATTCTATTTCTCCTATACTTCTCATTCATCAATCAATTCCACTCAAAATTACTCTTTAATTAAAGCTCATTAATCACAACATGCTTAGTAAAAGAAAAAGGAACAACAAGCATGCAATCAACATGCAAATCATCATCAAATACATGCAGGATGCAGCATACATATCATACAATTCATCTACAAACTTTTCAAGTATTCGCTGACTTTTACAAGTACAAGGACATCACATTTATGATAAAAGAACAAAACTAGCTAAAACAACCTAAACATGAGCTAATAGCTGAATTATCCATAGGGTTTTCATTATGTGGATTTACATGTGTACACAGATGCCTCACACACACACACACACACACACAGATGGATGGATGGATCGAGGACAGACGGACGGACGGACTTTGATTTTGTGTAGTTTTCTTTATCCTCTGACAATTATACGTGTTTTTCCTGGTTATATTCATACCATTTTCTTGTAATAGCATTGCACTTGAAAAATAATCGTAAAGAAAAGCCAACCAGAACAAATCCAACATAAACGTGCTCGAATAAATACAAAATTACAAATTAAAATAAAGTAACCCAATTTGAAATTATAAAAAAGGGTTTTCATCTACCAAACAACACACTAATTTAAATAAATTAATTAAAAAAAAACCATACCAAAAGATTTATATATGAATGCACATCAAATATCACACCACAACAATCCCATATCTATATAATTATGGGAGATGAACCAAGGCGTTTTCATTCCCCTTGCTCTATGATCATCTTCCATCCCATCCCAATGAAGAACTCGTGCATGATCAGCTTCAAGAAAATAATATTTTAAATTTAGAAGTAAAAAAGATGTTGCTTCCAAACCTTACATGATAGCTGATTCCTATGCTTGGCAATCGAAAGCAAAAAATGACTTGAATAAGAGACATTTTTCATACATACAACCCTATTCCTATGTATTTACATATGTAGCACCTAAACTTCATTTTTCCACATTTATGCCTCCCAAAAGTTTCATCACATGAAAAATACAACCGGTTTAACTTTTAAATAGTGATACACATTTTCATGCATAGGTAAGGTGGCATGTATGTAAAAAATTTAAGTTCAGGTGTTAGATATGTAAATACAAGAGAATTAAGTGGTATGTATGTAAATCTTCCTTTAAATAAAGGCGGTTAGAGAAGAATTTCACAGTAATGATACCTGCTTTGCAAGCGTGCTCATGTAAAGTGTTTGGGCAATATTCCATTTTTAATCTTTCATAGGTAAATAATTATTTTGTGAAACACTCAAAAAGCAAATCAGAAGAAAATTATTACCAAAAAACTCCTACATTTGGTAATGTTGTATCCATAAGGTTCCGCTGTAATTAATGAAAAAAAAAAATCATTGCAACTCTTACAAAGCTGGACTGACTGCGGTGAGGTAGGTAGACAAAGAAGGGATTTCTCGTAATCTATTTGGATTTATGTCGGGCAGGTATACTATAGAAGCTATACATTTATTGAGAGATTTGATGGAGAAGTTCAGAGATAACAAGGAGAACCTACATTTGATTTTTATTGATTTAGAAAAAGCTTACGATTAGTTTCAAGAGATATCCATTTGAGAGTCCTTGAGAAGAAAGGTATTGAAATGACTTATATTCAAGTCATTACAGATATGTATACTAGAATTGTTACTTGTGTTCGAACTGAAGGAGGATTGACAAAATATTTTCCTATTTCTATTGGATTACATCAAGGGTTGGCTCTAAGCCCATATTTTTTTTCTTTAGTTATGGATGGTCTTACTGGGCATTTACAGGAGGATGTACCTTGGTGTATGCTTTTAGCTGATAATATCCTTCTCGTGGATAAGACGAAAGAAAAAGCCCAGGAAAAATTTGAATTATGGAGGTCTACATTGGAGTCTGAAGACCTTCATTTGAGTAGAGCTAAAACTGAATACATGGGATGTAATTTTAGTAGAAGTAGCTCTAGTGACAAAAGTGTAACTTTGGGTGATCAAATTATTAAAAGGTGTGAACGATTTAGATATCTTGGGTCTATTGTTCAAAGCGATGGTGATATAGATGGGGATGTTAATAGTAGAATTCAAGTTGGTTGGTTGAAGTGGAGGAATGCTTCGGGCCTTTTGTTTGGTAGAAAAGTATCGCTTAGACTCAAAAGGAAAATTTTATAAAACGGTGGTGAGACGTGCAATGCTCTAAGATGTTGCATGCTGCCCTTTAAAAGAAAAGCATAATACTAAGTTAAGCATTGCCTAGATGAGAATGATTAGGTGGATGAGTAGCTTTACACTTAGAGACAAAATGCAAAATGAATATATCTGTTATAGGGTTGGTGTAGCTCCTGTGACAGACAAAATTAGAGAAAGTCGTCTTAGATGGTTTGGTCACATTAAACATCGACCATCTGATGATCCGATTAAGAGAGTAGATGTTTTAGATTCGATTTATGTTAAGAAAGACAGAAGTAGACCTAGGAAGCCTTGGGTTTTTTTGTATAAAAAATGATCTTAATTTATTAGAACTAAATGAAAATATGACACTAAATAGGATGCAGTGGAGAAAAAAGATTCATGCAGCCGCCACCACGTAGTGAGATTAAGGCTTTGTTGTTGTTGTTCCGATACAAATTGTTGTAAGATAACTTGAAATGCAGTGAATAATTAACATTTTCATACAACTAAATCAAGCAAAAGTTGCTAATCAGAAAAATCCTCACGGCAACAATCTTACGATGAGAAGTGCAAATGTTTGAAGTACCTTAGTGAACGACCTTAAAAGAATCTTAAAATCTAAGTAAGAAAATAAGAGGATAAAATTTGAACAAACAATTTAAGAACATTATCTTAAAAAAAAAACTAAATAGGACGCAATAAAGAAAAAGGATTCATGTAGCTGACCCCACGTAGTAGGCTTAAGGTTTTGTTGTTGTTATTGTTGTTGTTGTATGTTAAAAAAAATCATTGAACAAAGTGAGGCTTTAAAATAGTTGATATTTTGATGCGGGTGTCAGTTTCCCACAAGACGACGTGGGAGTCTGTTTGACGGGAGACCGCAATGGCACGGTCTGATCGTTCGGCCCACAGACAATTCAAGATTCAACTGACATTCAGGTTTGCTTGGGGTTGTCGCCCACCCTAAAGGGACCACTCTTCTTTATTTAGGTTTATAAGTAAGTTGTTTTCATGTTTTATGACAGTTTTGAATTGTACTTCTATCAGGACAGATGTTTGCATCCCTAATTTCTGTTCTAGGGTTGTATCCAATGGCGAGTGGTGCTCCGGCTATTTCAGAGATGGTGATTGTCCACCAAGAATCGAGGAGCGCTCCGGGTTCCCAATAGGATATTTTGATGTGGGCGTCTGTTTCCCACAAGATGGCATGGGCGTCTGTTTGATGGAAGAACGCAATGGCACGGTCCGGATCGTTCGACACAGACAATTTAAGGTTCAACTGACCTTCTGATTTGCTTGGAGTTGTCGCCCACCCTATACGGACCACTCTTCTTTACTCTAGGTCAATATGTATGTTGCTTTCATGTTTTATGATATTTTTCGATTGTGTTTCTATCAAGACAGTCGTCAGCATCCTTATTTTCCATTCTATTGGCGCTGCGGGTTCCCAATAGAATATTTATCCCTTCACCCCCGGGCCCGGCCCCGGTGGCAACAATCTTATAATGAGTGCAAATGTTTCAAGTACCTTAGTCAAGAACCATAAAAGAATCTTCAAATCTAAGTAAAAAAAAATCATGAGCATTAAATTTAAACAAAAGATTTAAGACCATTATGTTAAAAAAACAATTTAACAAAGCAAGGCTTTCAAATAGATGATAATTTGATACAAGCGTCTGTTCCCCGCGAGACGCAATGTGGGTGTTTGTTTGAAGCGAGACCACGCAACGCGGTTCGGACCATTTGGACAATTCGAGGGTCAACTAAGCTATCGGTTTGCTTGGGGTTGCCGCCCACCTTATGGAAGCCACTCCTCTTTACCATAGGTCTATATGTATGTTTTCATATTTTAGTGGTCCTCTTTACTACAGGTCTGCATATATGTTTGTTTCCATATTTTATGGCAGTTTGAGATTGTGTTTCTATCAATACTATATCTAAGGGTGAGTAGTGCTTCGGCTATTTCTTGCTCCAAGCGGTGATTGTCATCCAAGAATCGATTGACGCTTCAGATTCCCAATGGGATATTTATTTTTTCCCAACTCCTCCGCATCCCCACCCCTTTCTTGTTAACACGTATTCCTCCTCCCTGCAACTGCCTCGATAGCAGCCATTTTGTTCTTCTTCATGTAGTTCCTTGCTATCCAGCTATCCGAAATAGTTGTCCTTTTGTTGTCTCGCAGTCTTATGCACTCCCACAGCTGCCGCCGACACTCCCGCTCCCTACCGCTGACCCGAAAAAATGTTCCTGGATGTTTTAGTGTTGTTCCAGCCCTCCCGAACTACTTCCCTGCCACCTTCCTGACACTTATCCGCTGTCCTAGCCTACCGCAACTCCCTCCCCACACTAGCTGTTGTTCTAGCGGCCCAACACCGCTTCGGATCATTGTATCCCCGCTCCCTAAGTTACCTATCCACTTGTTGTCACCCCACACAACAAATACCCCAGCTTCCCTGATGTACCACCCACCTGCTCCACCTCCGCCCCTTATCACCTTTCTGGAAACCCAATAACCACCACCATCAGCACATGCTATTCATAGTTTATGTCTGTTGTTATTTTCTATTTCCTTGTGTTGGCTGAAAATAAATATTGGTTTTTCCAGTAATAATATTTATTTTTTTATTATTATTTGGGTTAACTACGGTATTATTTGGTATCAAAGCTGGTCAATCCTAATCCTATCTAAGAGTTTCTAGCACCCATGAGTACCAAACCCTACCTCTATACAGAATCATTCACTCTGGTGATTTTTCAAACCAAACATACAAATTTTTCTTTCCCACCCTAAAACCTCCTTCCACCTGCCCATAACCAAACCCTAATCACAGCATCAACGAGACAATTATCAAAAACCTGTTTGGTAGGATACAACGTCGTTTATGAGAAATTAGCAAGAGATATCCAAGAAACTTCTATAGAGGATGTGCAACGGTAAATCCTCTAACTGTAATAGAGGCTTATCGTCTTCGAGAGGAGATAATCTGAAACGGTTACTCGTAGTCACAATAGTGACTTCTCAGATCAAAAGAATACAGTCAATCCCTTTTACAAGACAAATTTTAGATATGAAGAACCACTACTTCGAAGACTTGACATAAAATATCATAAAATCAATCATTTTGAATTAAAAGGGGATTTGTCATTTTTTGATGGCCACATAAAACGAACAAATTTATTGAGCAAATTTGGATAGTGGAACGTTTCTTTAAGTATCAGGAAGTCCCATCGAAGAGAATGGTGAAACTAGCCGCCAACAAGTTGTGGTGGAAAAACTTGAAAATTCTTCACCGCGAAAAGGGTCGAGTAAGATTACTACCTGGGAGAAGATGAAACGATGTATGCAATGTCAGTGTCTACAAGTTTTTTACAGACAGTATACTCAAACCCTAACTTTAACAGTGGAGAGGCAACCTCACCGAGTGATCACCATATCTTACAATCAAAGTTCAATCCCAAGATCAAGCAACAAGAGTAAACACAATGGAACATGCAAGCCAAACTCTCTTGCGAAGATAATAGTTCAGATTGGAGAGTAGGTTGAATCAATCCACATTCCCAACTTCATTACATCCAAAAAGTATTTCAAGTGCCATGAATTTGAGTATATTAAATCAGATTA